AAACAATTATAAATACATCCATATTGCAACACAGTGAGTCAATAATACTAATAAATCCCAGTGACAAAGAGCCAACGAGTTCAATGCTTCAATGAGCACATGAGTACATACCCTGTAGGGAATGGCTCTGGTGAATTTCACAGTTCGTTGCTGCCAAAGTAGTTAGAAATACGACTGTCGAACCAAAGAAACGAACTGAAGTATGGATATATGGACAAAACAAGTCCACTTTCAACAACGTTTTCAGCGTCATGTCCCTCCCGAAATGGCATGAATCCAGCGAAACTCAAACAGCATTGCACTAAAATGCATCAGACGAGTTCAGACTTTCCTAGAGGGTATCAACTGAGTCGACAAATAGTCGCGTCGATTCTTACTTCCATACGTTTGCTAAGTACACCAACAAGTTTCCACTTGTCTGGGGTCTAGCTTCGTTGTAGACACATAAATTGCTGTAAAATCCCAAAATGAACGAAGCGCAAACAAAATAAATACTTTTACAGACTCATTGATTATATAACAAATTTTTGAGAAAATCCCAAAGTAAACAGAGACAAACGAGTTTTAAAAATAAAAGATACGAAGGAAATATAAAATTGAATTCTGGCCAAATGCTTCAGGGAATATAATGAGTTAAACACATACCGCAGTTCAATTTGGGATGCAATGCTTCTTTGGCGGGAGAGTAGAAATGCCAGACTACTCGTATATTCGAAGATACGAAAATGGACGGTAGAGAAAATCAATAACAGCAGCGCAGGGATTTGTAGCATTTTGAGAGCTACCTAAAGCGAGCAATGTGAAACGAACGGCAGGAAAATTAATTGATAACGCATGATGGAATAGGCAGACGAAGTTCAAAGGAAATATGAGGGTTAATAGGGGCTCATAAATATAAAACGCAGTTAGAACTGTAGCAAAAATATTGTATTTGTAATATATTACAGAACGTTCAATGTAAAATAGGATTTCAAGGGATGATGTATTACCAATGATGTTTATTCTTCATTTCATGATTGTTGATTCCTCATTTTATGCACTGGTTAGGTAGTTTGTTATCACCCGGTCCCACATTGTCAGAGTTAAACTGCACTGAAACCGGCTAACGACTATCTAGCTCTTATCTGTTGCTGTAATCCTGCCAAGTACGGTAAGTTATATTGAATTAATTATTTTTTAGACCTCACAAATTTTTTGAGTAAATTTTGAAACTTCAGTTCAATAGACAAGATCACTACTTTAACTTTCAGTACGCGTACTGAGCTCCGAACTCTTACATTACAGATAATATTCAACTCAAAAATAGTTGCTTAGTTACTCGATATCCCCACTTGTTGAATCTGCCATAATGTCGTCATATTCTAATAGTGGCAACACGACAGTGAGACATTACTCGGCGGTAAGAGTATGCTGAGATATCTTGGCGAACCATTACCAGCTCAAGTTGATCTGGATTCGAGGCTAGGCAAGGCCTGTAAGAAATTTTAAAACGAGCATTTGAAATAAAATTCAATCTACACCTAGTTTAGTGGCATGCCTTGTTTCAGCGAAAAAGCACAAATTCTTCTTGAGTTTAAGCTGTTAAACTGATGATAGGTGAACTCTAGTTTCCTTCAGAACTGAACGGGGCGCACTTTATTCATGCTCTGTGACTTTTTGGCGAACCATTACCAGCTCAAGTTGATCTTGATTTGAGTCCAGGCAGGACAGTGAAAGGTAAACAATACTTGATGTATATGAAATCGCTAGAACGTTCTTGACTTGTGGAACGAATCGGAGAGTTCAGCTGGTTTTTCACAATTTTAATACAATTTTAGATTCCATCTGGGTGTTGTCTGTTAAACATGATGCAATGAATCGACTTTTTTTTTTAACTTTCTTAAAACTTCATTCGGATATTTCGACGAAACGGGAAATATCAAATAACAATATGAGGAAGAAAAGGACATAATGTGCTCTAGAAACTTCACACCACAAATGGATTCTGTTAGATTTTCGTAATACGAGCGCTGCTTCCTAAAATGAACTGACGACGAATGACTATTTAAGCTTGGAAGAACTGCAAAGAACCGATTTTGCTATCTCAAATAAAATTCTACTAAAACATTCTCCAAAAAAGGTACAATTTTAAACAAAAAAAAATGTATCATTGCATGGAACTTCAGGATCCATATTCTGAAACGTGCTGTCTGTGCTAGGAGAAACTCAAAAGCAGAGAACCACAAATCATTCTCAAAAGAAGTCCCAATTTTAATAGCAAAATTTAGACAATTGGAAGCAAACTTCTTCACCATATGCTGAAACGTGCTATCTGTTCTTAGCACAACGTGCCTAGTTACAAAGGCGGAAAGATTATTTCACAAAAAACACAGGACAGAAAATTTAAGCAAAAAGTAAGAAAGTGAGTTAAAGTAAACGCCAACAGTCGAGGTACCTTCGAGAACCAGCAGGTAAAAGGAAAACAAAGAACAAACAACGAAGGTCTAAAAATAAGCGCCAAAAGGAAGTACATACAAAAATGAGAATTGAATTCGTGAATGTAAAATGGAAACAACTTGACACCATACAACAACAATGACACTTCAACAGACAGAGCAAATATATACCTTTAAAAAGGTGCCGAAATTTGTAAGTTAAACATACTTTTCCAGTTTAAGTATCATGCTATATTCCCCGACACATATGCCGAGCTGCACTTCTCTCTCTCCCTCTCTCTCTCTCTTGCCCTAGAGAATGTTTGCTTGGTGTAAATATTTAATTTCACGTGCTACGGGCAATTGTCTACAGAGCTGCATATGCTCAACAGTAAATGTTGGTGCATAAAATACAAACACACGCTCATGTATACTTTCATATGTAAATATATTTATATAGACTTGCATTTCGAGGTTCTTGTGACGTTAAGGGATGAAACCAGCGCTAATGTTGCCTTTGTTCTTCCTGGCTTTGTGCGCCGCCAAAGAGGCGATTTCATTCACTTCTGATTGCGAGCAAAGCAGCAGGTAACTACTATGAAGGGCACACACACACATACCCTCATGCCACACGCTTACATGTGGCAAGTCAGGTAGTTTGTAGTTATGCAATGTTTGATGTTCTCGAATCAAACTTGTTGAATTTTTTATGCGGGTCTATAGCTGTCTCTTATACACATCTAGATGTGTATAAGAGACAGCACATACCCTCATGCCACACGCTTACATGTGGCAAGTCAGGTAGTTTGTAGTTATGCAATGTTTGATGTTCTCGAATCAAACTTGTTGAATTTTTTATGCGGGTCTATAGTGCGTGTGTGTGGATGCGTGGACTTGTCTCAGCCGAATTGAGGTCAAATGTGAGGATTTGCTGCTTTTAGCTTCGTGTTGCGCAATGAATACTTAGTAATGGGCATACGGCTTGGCACACAATGGCAAGGAAAATGGGTATAAATTTTCTGATTAGTGACTCTTGTTTGCGTGTAGATGACTGTGCTAGTATTGGTGTGAATGTGGAGGAATTCCTGGCTTTGTCTTCTTACACTATAAAAGACTGTAGTGCTGATAATGAGGTTAATCCTACGCATTAGAGGATTTCGTTGTTTGAAAGCGGCTTTGTTCGGTGTAAAAAAACAAAACCATATGGGGCACGGCAGAATTCATTGACAGGACCTCGCAGAATTGAATGAGAGCATATTTGAAAATAGAACCAACAAAAAACAAACTTAATAACCTTTCCATGTGTATTATCTGTTATAGATATCAGTTCTGGCTTGGGAAATATTTTCTTGCCAAATTTCGTGAGGATATCTTTTCAAATAAATAAACCCGACGACATAGTAATCAGCTATATGCTACCGTGAACCGATCTGAACAATTAGTGTAGGTATTGTGCCGTTACTTAAGACAATAGTCTACGCCAAATTTCGTGATGATACCTTTTCAAATCCAAAATTTGTCTATAACAGAACTTGACTTGAATCGATCAGTTAGTACGGATATGTGGTCCGATATCAGTGATACCGACATATGAGAAGTTTTTTGGAGAAAAAAGTACATATGCAAAATTTCAGATCGGCATCTCAAAAATTTAGGGTATAGTTCGGGCATTTATAGACGGACAGACAGAAGACATGGCTAAACCTGCTCCGCTCATGTTCATTTATTTATTTTYACACTTTGTGCTATTTTCGATGTTTCCTTTTTGATGTTAAAAACTTCGTAGAAGACTTAATATAACCTCAATGTATAAATAATAATTCGAATTTCAAGAAATTGCAATACAATATTATTACAGGAAGTTTGGAGAAAAAAATTGTGGCAAAAAGATCCTAACCGTTTGGTCAAATGCTTTCCGGTTTGATATAGAAAACTTTAAGCACTTTTTGATTAATTTGTTGGATTTTCTGACACAGAAACCGAACTAAATCTATTTCTGTGACTTTTCTAGTGAATGAGTCACGATACAGTTTTGTCTTCTTTAGATTTAGCTAATTGAGTGCCTAAATAACTTCCGACTCATAAGACTGTAGACTGACTAATCATCCTTTATTACCGATTCATCTTTGGAGCCGTTCGCTTCGATATTCTTAGTACCAGCTAGTAAGAACTGAAGAATACCGACTACTAGTTTATCTGATAAGTTTTTTCCTATGGATATGTAGAATCACAGAATTGCTCGAAGGAATGGGTTGGCGGTCCCACTGAGTCGTTTATAGAGATTAATTTGGATTCATGATGCAATATAAGAAATCTTTAGTCTAGAAAGTTGTTCCAAATAAATTTTTTAATCTGATCTACGCATATCTTAAATAGACGAAATTAGAAATAATATATATAAAATTACCAGATAACAAACATGTAAGTAAAATAAAACGTCAGCTAGAGCGTCTTGGTATACCCAATTTCGACCTAAGTTTTTAAGGTCTAAAGGCATTTGATGCGAGCTTCCTCTAATTGAAAATCAGTATCAAAACTACATGACCGTCCTGCTACATTATTCTACTAATAAATTCCTTCACTTACCTTTCCACCAACTTTGAGCGCGTAACCCATTCCTTGGGGTGTCTTCAATTGAACCGGACACACGAAACCGATATTACGATGCGGACTGTCTGCATAATTTTTGCGCGGCGTTACCTTCGGTATGCTGCGCGTCGGTGTCGGCGTCGACGAAGTCGTATTCTCGGCAACACACAAAGCCTCACCGCCGCTAATGGGAAATTTCGAACACTCCAAATTCTCCGGCCAATTGAAATTATACGTTTTCATGAGTGTCTCACAGATACGCGCCGATTCACATAACGAACGACACGGCGGTATGGGTTGTTCGAGTATCGTACAAACGGGCACATACAAAGAGCAAAGGAATAACTGCAAATCGGCACTGCAACCGATTTTGACGAGCGGCGCAAATTGATGTACCTCCAAACCGGCTTCCTCTTGCTTCGTATGACCAATTAAATTCGGCATTATTGTCATATTGTAGGGTATATTTTTACATATGGAAATTGTGATCGGTTCACAGCGATTATGATGCGGAAATGCATCACTTGTCATCGCCGATGAACTGATCATTTCACCCGATGCGGAGGTGCGGTAATAAGGGCTAGCTTCGACCGGCGTTTGATCATACCGATGCACGGCGCGTACGGTTGGCAGTATGCGGCAACAAGTGAACGCGACGATTATGGCACAGATTAGCGCGTTACAGTTACGACTTGCCGTCGGCATTTTGCTTTGATGCGCGTACATTTTCACGACGTAAACGGGTGATTTAGAATTTCTAATGATGTGTGATGAATTTCGCAAACGTTTTTTATTGTTGTGTATTGTGTTTTATTTATATTTAAACGGCTCGATTTAAGAGGAACTTGCTGCAATTAAACACTTTTGGTGTGGCGTATATAATATAATTATTTTGTATGCATTTCTAGTACCCTTTTGTACATGTATTTTATACACAATTCTTATTATGTCACTTGGTTTTAGCAATGGTATGGTTTATATATTTTTGCGGAAACATTATTTTTATTTTATCAAAAAATTTTTAATTTTTTTTTTTAACCCNATTTTTTTTTATTTAATTTTCCACAGATATTTTAATGATTTTTTTTTATACTTTTTCGAAACTATTTCGGTTTGTACCGCTTAGTAAGTAAACTTCTGATCTTTCTTGGCAGCAAATATTTCAATTTTTTTAAAGTGACACTCACAACAAAATTTTATTCCATTTTTTGTTGTTTGTTGCATTTGTTTTTATCACGTTGTAATATAAAATAATTCAAAAGGAAATTATTTTCCAATTTTTTGTTGTTATCTGCAATATTTTCTTACACTGTATTGTAAATAATGTTTGCATTTTTATATAGCATATATTTTTCATCGATTTCCGTATATAAATAAAGATTATTCTTTATATTTACTRAAATAATAATAATTTTTAGATAGAAGGTAGCTGTTTCTATGCTCTTTTGGCCACAATCTCCGATTTACATGCACTTCCACTTATACATTTTTACTTTATTAGCATTTTTGCTAAATTTTCAATATTTTTTGAGATTAATAAGTTATGACAAACTCCAAAATTTTTCACAAATTATGTAAATTTCACTCTGTTTTGTATCATTTATTTGCAAACATATAGTGGCAAATATTCTTTATTTTAATATTTTTAAAAACAATTTTTAAACATAGCTCTTCGCTTCACTTCACTTTTCAATATTTTCACATCGGAAGATTTGATAATAAATTGAATGCCATGTACTCATTACTTCACTTTACGATAGAATATAATATATTTTTTTTAGAATATCAGTTTATAATTCACTGCTTCCACAAATTTCATTTTTAAAAAATTTTGTTGCCGATGTTTCACTTTTCGAAACCCCTTTGGGCTCTGCGTGGCTCTAATTCATTTTCGAATAATGGTTGTACTTGTTTTTATGCCAAGCCATTACACATAATATCGCATATGACTTTCAAAATTAGTTATTAATTTTATCTACTTTTAGCACTCATAACTTTTTCAATACAATTTTTTAATAACATAACCTGCACTTTCCAAATTATGTTATAGTGTTTTACACTACAATATTGCAAGCTTGCATACATATGTATGTATGCACATATGTATATACACACCTACATATTCTAAGCACAATTCACTTCATTCTTCACGTTCATCATGCCTTTTCAACTTCTAAATGTGCAGCATAATTTTTTATGTAAATCGTTACACTTTTCACTCCAGCAATAATTCAGGTGAATATCACTCAAAACATGCGAAGATTGCACAAATTTTATAAATATTTAATAAAATCTCGATTTTTTCACTACACATTTCTAGCACTCTTCCAATGGCGCTGTGCAAATGCGGCATGCAGCCATTTGCTTTCTGTCAACTGCGGCACACAAGAACCAACAACCGGCGGCAAATAGTTTTACCAGCTTAACACACACACGAAATCACGAAAATAATAACCGAACACGGCAAAAGTCGCTTCCGAACTAAACAGGCAAGTTGAAATGCGCGCCGAACAAGCGGCAAGCGAAATGCATAAACAACGAAGGGCGAGTGAACAGTAAGAATGGCTAAGTGCATAATAGCGAGTTATGTGCCCAGAGTAATGTAGTTGTGAAGATGCAATATTTCACAATCATATATTGAGTGATATACAATTTAGAAGTTATGTACGTGTTTCGTGGAATCCACTATTTGAGCCTTGCTCTATGTGGAAAATTAAATATTTCGTCAAAGTAATATATTTTATATTTTTATATATATTCCACTTAACTTATTTTTCCATATCAGCGCCAACACCACACTTACTCTCTCGCTTTTTAACGCTGAATAAGTGAAGAGCACAGAAACGTGTTTTTTTGTCTCTTAGACACAAATATACTCTCTTAAGAAATCACCTCTTAGTTTATTTGCAATTCAGCTATTCGACCTTGAATTAAGGGTTACTGTGTCTGTTGTTTGAAAAGCAGGTGACGAAAGCAAGCGTGGATGTTTGAAGAAGTGTTTTTGAAATAAATTCTAATTGGAAATTGTATAATTCGTGAGTAATGACAGGTACATATGTATGTATGAATGTGCGTAGGCTCAAATAGATCATATATTTCTTGTGGCTGATAAACATGAGTACAGATAAATCGAGTTCTAGTAATCTTGGAGGCTAGCTTATTTATTTCCTTCACAGTTGTGAAATATGCTTTTTAAAACGCTCGGTCCGATGCTTATTAATTTATACATTATTGATTGACGTTAAATTATTTTTGAGCCGTTTTGGTAGGCTAGTTTAGATTTTTGGGAGACTCACAATGTTCCCTGGGATTTCTTTTTCGAAATTCGGTTCATTTGATTAATTGAATAATTATTAAAAGGTTTTTTTGTCTCCCCGGCCAGAAAAATGTGGTGCAGAAAATGCTTCCCCCCAGATAAAATTCATGGTCGAAGAGTTCTATTGACCCTCAAGAAAAGTAATGAGTCAAATTATACCTCAAAATTTGAATTACAGATGTGTTTCAGGTTTAGGAGCCTTCAAGGCCTATTAACTTTTGGCTTAAGGTATCTTCATTTGACTTTATTAGTAAAAATTTATTAGTATATTAATATAAAAATTAATGTTTTGATTAAATATTTTCGAAGCAGATCTGAGACCCAAGTTACATGAAGATATGGTAATTTTTTAGGCTTGGCTGAGGGGATCTTGATGTCTTTTTTATACACTGTACAGTGTGTACTAAATATCTTACGAAGTTTATAATACCGAGAAGTAAACGTCGTAGACTCATATAGCGACCGACATCCTACCTGTGTGGTGTACCTACTAAAACTCTTCGCTCTTTCATTATATATTTTTCCCTTCATCCGGGACCGCTTTTCACACTTCGCACTACAGGACAAGGTTTCTACAGTGGACCCATTGCAAGTCAATTTCTACCGGGCCAATCTAAACTCTTTGTCCTGAAGGGCAAAGGCTACCAACATCTTTGACTTGGTTGAGAATTATTGGCCGATAAGCTTTAAGATCTTAAGCATCAATTTCAACTCTCATTATATATTTCTCTCTCTTATTATTGTTATAACTTGCGAGACTACCACTCCACTAGCTTTTACTATAAAAGGAAACTCATTCACTACTTCCATGTCCTCCTACTTCTAACCACGTAACATTTTTTGTACACCAACACAGCCAAGAACACACACAGCAAATCTCCCAACGCAACCGACAACAAAATGCCGAAAGTTCGTTAACACGCGGTCAAACAATAGATAACAACAACAACAACATCAACAACAAGATATCAACAAAAGTAAAGCATAACAAAATATGCAAACTGTGGGCAAACAACAACAATTTATCGAAAAAAGAGAAACAGCCAACAAATACCATACAATAACAAAAGCAACCAAAAACTCGCAAGTCAATTCCAACCGCAGCTAAACAATGGCGCACGTATGAATAGCAGAAGCTGGAGCGCGCATACTAACACACAAACACACACACACTTATATTTACAGACATTCATGCGCTTGAAGACACTTTTAAGGCTGGCTCATTGTTATGTTTCACATTTTGTTTATTTTCCTCGAGCATTATTTGCCCTTACTTCGGTTATTTGTATGTCTCCCAATGGAGCGAAACAAAAACAAATAAGCGTAAAGAACGCACTCCCGGCTGAAAGCAAGGCAAAGTGGAGAAGTGGTAGAGTTTGGCTTTGTTGGTAAGGTAAAGCAGGAGACGCGCAAAATGCCGGCTAAACCGGTCCACAAGAACTTGCTACAAACAGCAGCAAACAGCCACTTGTGGGAGAATGCTGTTTGGCGTGGTTGTGTTGAGTTGGCGGAATAAAGAGCGTCAACGCTGAAGAAGATTTTGAGAGCGCAAAATTTGCAAGAAAATGCATGTGCTCTCTTCTGCTTCGGGATTATTTGTTTACAATTTGCTTTTATTTGGTTTTACATTTTGCATTTGCGGCAGAGTGTCTTTACTTTTGATTTTACTGAAGCCAATATTTACTTTTGTTGTTTAGGCATTTCGCTTTCAGTAAAACATTTTGTATTGGGTCCACTTTGTTGATGATTGCTTCGAATTACAAACTTTGAGGTCTTAGAATTTCTACTACTTTCTCACTTTGATAACTTCTGTTCGACAAGACTTTTAACCTTACCGCATGAATACCTATGGCCATTGTTCTGTAATATCCCCTATGACTGCACCAAGATGAACTTTTCTAAGAGCAAGTACTTCAGTAGATCTCTTGCATTTTATTCACAGTTAGCGGATGCTCACCTTCCTGAAAGGAACTGCGCTTTATAACAGTACGCCATCTGCCGTATTAATATCAGACACTTCTACCTAAAAACAGTACAGTGGTCGGGTAGCCTAAAGCTTGACGGAGAACTTCTTACAGAAAACTCCCTAATCGGTATATGAGCAGAGAAAAAACCGTCAAGAGTAGCTTATTCAACGCAGTGCTCAAGTTTTCAGGAATGCAGTTGAAGAATTCAGTTGGCAACCGATCCTTACTTTCTTCTCAATATTTAACCTCCACGAAAGTCTACGATAAAGGATAATCAGTAGGTCAGAATGAAAGCAAAGGAACTGCTGGGATCTTATACTTCCAGATAAATGCTCTATATCCGTAGCACTCTTTCAGGTTAATTAAAGTCAACCTGTTCATGGCAACATTATAGTTTATATTGAGGCGATTAGGGATTCAGTTGCCTATTCGACCATCTCGCCTCTGGAAATAGTGAATACCATCAAGTAAACTTGAGTTCCTCTAAGATGAATGCCAAATAAAGCAACATTAGCTTACACAATTTCAAAAGACCTCACGACTATTTGAAATCGTTATATTATACTAATAAAGTAAGAAGTTTTTTTTTTTTTTTAGTAAAGAGAGGTTTATTTGGCTTCTCGGGAGTTATATTTACTGGACTCTGTCTTCGTCCAGTATATATGCAAGAACGTACAGGATACCCCACTGTTTCTTTAAGTACATAGCAACTGTAGTTCAGGTAACGCCGTTA